AAACTCAAATTTAAAAATATAAAATTAAAATTAATAAATTTAATAAAATGATAGAAAACCATTTATGAGTTATGAAAGATATATGAACTAGTCGTCTAATGTTGACGATTCTTTTGTCCGAACAGAAGTCGCATAATATTACGCAATGAGTTTGGGTTATCCCTGTGTTGTACCTCCCACCCACAAGTGCAAAATACAGAGAGCTCATAGACATAGAGCTCATCAATAATTATGTGCCCAAAAAGCAAACCGATCACAAAACATTGCAGCCCTAATACAAATTCAGTCGTGCAGGTATCCAACTAAAAGTTAACTGCAGCATGTGCTCATGAGATTCAAAAACATTCCTTTCATACACACCCGAATAAACTAGATTTCGGGCTCAAGCTATCAAATTATTCAATTTGATTGGTTTTAAATCATTCAAACCATTCGTTTTTTGTTGACGCTCTTATAAGAAACAACTCATATGAGTTTATGCTGAGTCATTTCTGCTGACAGAGATGCAGAAAAGTTGGGAGCCAAAAAAATCATATAGATTAATTGATTTATGGTTCCTTAAAAATGGCAATAACTATCGGAATGATTTCTATTTCCTGTACCACACAGGTACAGGTCACAAAAAAATTGTTCTTAATTTTAGAAAATTGAAATTAATATGAAGAAAAAATCCTTCCTAAAATTAAGAAACAAATAATAATATTTACTGGTGCGACTTTTATTTTTTTATTTTATTTTAACTCGCGAGCCAAGGGTCGCTCTTCCGTTAAATCGTATTTTGTTTTTTTTTTCAAATTGAATTGTATGAATATATTAAATATTTAAAATTCTCGAATAAGATACATTTTGCAACTTTACTTACTAAAATCATCTTCAAGATTAAACATATTTTTTTCTAAGTCATCGAAAAATTTACCCTGAAATTATGGTTTATAATTGTACTTTCTAACTAAAAAGATGAATTAAGCTTGACGCCAGAAGTACAACTGGGTGGTCATAAGGGCACATATGTGGAAGTTCATAAGTATATAAAATAAGTTTTTCTTTTTCGTCACAACACTTTTTCCTTGACCTCAAGGGACGCTGGCTAGCGTGTCGTATGCGCAACGTTGTGAAAGGTGTTAAAAATGAACTTGAAACCTTCGGTAGAATGCGTACACACGAGTAATATATGCATACTTATTTATAAAATAAACATATAATTTGTACTCACAATCACACGTTCAACAAGCAAGAAAGTTGCAGTCAACGTTTATTTCTGATACGAGTGTAATTAAAGTAAGGAAAAGACCATGCTTTTGGACGTATGGAACATCAAAGTTGTTAAAGGAGATTATTAGTATTCCTTCTTATCGTTTTACTTTCCTTATTAATAATTTCAAAGAATTTTGGGTCTGATTGGCTATTGTCTCGTTGACCTTTATCCTTGCAATAAATGGTGGCCAATATTACATTTGAATGCTTCCTGACTTATTATATCTCTTAATTTTTTCATCCTTAAAAATTTAAGTTTTTACTTAAGATCACTTCCAAAGTAAATGACCGCTATTAGTTTATAATGACATTAGTACAACAATAAATAAAAAAATAAAAAACTTTTATTATATCTCTTAATTTGTAACTAAAAAAGGTTAATTTCAAATTTTTCTAAACGTGTATTAAACGTTATTATTATAATTATTATTGGGATTGCGCCCCCTTCTGAGCCTATAGTTCTTCCATCAACCCCAGCTCCTTCACGAATGCAAGAATCTTTCTGGGGTTGATGGTTCCCGTGTCTTCTGAGCTCAGAGCACGCAAGATACTAATACTAAAATACTCACTTCTTAGTCTGCAATGTCCTGTCAATAGACCGATGAGTATCTTAAGTCAATTCATTCCCATGGTTATTACCAGCTTAAGTGGTTATTACCTGATTATAGCCATCTAAAAGACATTTGGCTTAACGGAGGTCTGGTACCTCTGCCCTTCTCTGTTGTCGCCTCTGTAGGTAAATAAAAATATAATAAACATTTTGGTATAGATCGAGTTCTTATCAATTGCTGGGGGTGACACTTTGACTAAGTTTAAAATCATATCCATACCTACGCATTTGAATACAATTTTTGGTAGCAAGAACTACTTCGAGGCGAATAAATATATATAGAGAGTTCGACAATTATTTTTCATAGCTTATCTGGCAATTGATCTAAAATATGTATGATTGTACTTATTTGGTGTGCATGCAGGAACGCACAACCGACTTGCATGTTGAAAATGGCAATGAAGGAGAATGTGTCCAGGTGCAATTAGACCAGGCGATAATATGAAACTAAAGTAACTAAATTGACTTTCACTGAGGAGTTAATGGGCTGCTTTCGGGCTTTTCAGCATTTACAGCGGCATGATGACCTCCAAGCATGCTCATCGCCAGTTTCCCAGATTTCGTGAGCAAATTATATATTCGCTTATTTGGGCAGTTGGCATTTGCTGGCGACTTTCGCACTAATTAATCATCAGTTAAGAATAATATACCAGGCAGATTGTGAGTAAAGAAATTGTATCCTTTTATTTTGGGGTAGAGCTCTATGTGTAGCTGCAGCACCTTAATTTTGTGAATTTTAGTTTGGCACTTGCCAAAGTTCGTGATATTTCTATATAATTTTCCGCGGATTTGGGCCAGAACATTTATCAATAATGTCAAGAAAAAAAACTAAAAAATAACTATGTCTGTAGAAATATACTTGTACAGTCAAATAAAATATATATACTTATACTTACTTACAAAAATATTTCGTAGGTACTTAATTAGGTATGCCATGCAAGAATTTATACATTTCGCAATTCGTCTGGTCGAGGATTTACGTAGTACCGCACATTGGCACAAAAGTGCGCAATTTACAATATGTATTATTAATATTGGGCTATTATAATAATAATACAATATGAAAATATACTAATATTATTTAAAAAAAAAACAGCTATTAATGCGATCGTGGTTAATTGTTATTTTAAAATCAAACATTAGTTTAAGATATTTGCGGTAACCTTAGTTTATCTCTAAACCATATTAATGAAGATCATGTGTTTACATGATAAAGGCTTATAAAAATATACATATGTTATTTTTTTAGTATAAATTAATACGCTAATGTACTAAGATTCGTTAATTATGTTTAATGTGCGTGTTAAATTAATTTTTTCTGCGTGGCCTAAGAGAACCAAAATAGATTTAAATGGTACACGTTTAGTAAAGGGCAAATGGATTTGCTGTCAGACCGGTCAAAACAATCGTTTTTATTCATGTTTACGCCCTGATAAAGTCAAAGCTTATTGCTGAAAAATAATACAGGCTCCGGTTTGTCAAAAGTGAATATTGCAAATATCAAACAAAATAACACTAGACTAGACTGAAGTACATACCCATGTGAGTGTTCTACAAGCGGGTTTTTATTTTTCTATTTCCTTTCTATCTTGCTCGTGCCTGAAATTCAATGGATCGATAGGGAAATGCTGATTTGTAAAATTGCCAATTTCTTTTTTACGTTGTGGGCGTGGCGTGCAACCTTTTTTGAGAGTTTGGCTACAAAAGCAACAAGCGCCCACTCAACATTAATGGTAGTGCAAGTAAAACGTAATTAGAAACCCTGCACAATCCGTCCACAAGTCAAGTAACCCAAAAAAAAATAATAATAATGGGCAAAATGAGAATTTGCTGTTGCTGTTTTAGCAAAAGTAGTTGTTATTGTTGTTATTGTTGTTGTTGTTGTTGAAGTTGTAAGTGTAGTTCTTGTGCGTGCTAATACTACACGTTAGTGTTACACATGTATGTTTGTGGCTTGTGCACGTTTTAGTTGGAGGCTCCGAAACTAGGCTATGCAATGACTCTAATGACTTCGCCGTTATTATAATACACACATAGAGTTAGGCCAGGACGAGGACGAGACGAGGCCGCCCTTACTTTAACGCAACAACAATAAAAATTGCACGAAGGTAAAACTACAAAAAATAAAAAAAACTACAAAAAAAAAAAACATCTTCGTTAACGAAACTTACACGAAGTCGCTAAAAGTGCGTATATTTAGGTACAATAATGCATACCCTGAAAATCCAACTTTGGGATGCAAGCAAATTTCAAAACATTTTTCATTGCTATTTGTATTAATTATAATATTACAACAAGTATTTTTAAAATCCGTTAAAAGTGTTCACAAAAAAAGTTATATGCAATTTTTCAATAAATGATACACAGATATTATTTATTTATTTAATTTCTGTTATTACTGAAAAATTAATAAAAAAAATTATTAAAAATCACATAAAATATAATAAGAAATAAAATAAGAATAAAACTATATATAAAATTTTACACAGACTTAATCTAGTTATTTTATTTTTCAGTTTGAGTCCGTACAATAATATAATATAAATAATAAAATAAAATAAATAATAAAACTAAAAAAATATAAAATAGGAATAAAATAATACATTTTCATTTTAAAACTAAATTTAAAAAATAAAGTATTTAATAAAATATCTCAATACATATTTGATTGAAAATTGTAAAAAGTAGTTTTTGACTTTTAAAATCCTAAAATTTATGCTATAAATTAAACATGATCTCATTATATTATTATTTATTTTTAATCTCTCAAGCTCTTAGAAGATCTGACAAGTTTTTATGAAAATTAGGAGGAAGGACCCTGAAACCCATATCATGAATCACACTCATTCGATTTTTTTTGTGTTGAAATCTATTCTCTATCAAGTTCGAGGAGAGTATGCAAAGTTCGTTATCAAGACTACTACGTAATTTTGGTGTTGCTTGACATTGGATAAGGCTCAGAGGGTAGGGTAGGCCTGTTGTAGACTGGCGTGAGCGAGCCGTAAGTAACCCTCAGCAGGGCTGTTGGTGTACAAAACTTAAGCTACGTGTGCGCTAGGAAATTCATCACTTGAATTTCGAACGCGCTGGCGACTGGTTCGTTTTTTCGCTGTTGACTTGGGCCTAGATAGTATCAAGGATTAAATTGTGAAATACAAGGTGTAAAGTTCGAAATCAGTTGATTTGCAGAATCTGCGTCAATTTGATTAAGTGACTGCCTAATTGCATGAAAATTGATATTAAACTGCCTGTTAAAGCCTAGTTTGTGAGAATTTACTGTTTACATAACAGTTCATTTTTGGCGCCTTTACTTCGCCCACACAAGCTTTATAATAGTGCACCAATATGCAGCCCTTAAAGCGCTTCACACAATGTGGCAGCCTGACAATGCTCTTCGGCGTCTTCATCATACTCTTTGGGGTGAGCTCCACAGCATTGACTACATTCGGAAAGACCAATAATCAGCCGCCTCCCACTCAGGGACCTATTAGTAAGTTGCATTCCACAGAGAATTAAATACAATGTTTATATGGCTTCAAATTTGTCTGTAAATTAGGAAAAAGTTCTTAATATTAACTTGAAAACTGATTTACATAATATTAAATTAATAAAATTTGCCTAACACACATTTGCAATCGAAGGCAATTATTGAAAAAGGTATGCATTGAAAATACTAAGTCTTTTTTGATTGGGCTCCTTCTTGGTTTCCCCAGATCATCTAGAAAAAAAGTTATAATTTAGCTTTTATTTTGTTTAATTTGTTTTATTTTATGCGGCGACTGATGTTAGACGGCGTTAAATAAATAATAACCATATACCGAAAAAATTATAGTATTAAATATAAGATTTGAATGCTGCGACTTTAAGTAATTCCAGTTTTCGTAACTTTTGAAAGATTGCCTGAATCACTAAAATCCCATAACTCACTTAAATTTTTACTGGCTTAACCAAATGGAAATGAAAAGGATATCGGTTTTTTAATATCAGGTATTACAAATATACTGAATAAATCCATATGTAAACTATGTATACTACTATTCATATGTAGTATAGCGCTAGCATCTTGATATTATCTATATCTTCGTGATTAAAAATAGACTATTTAACTTACTAACAAATTAACAATTGATTTCTCTGGTTATTAATTTTAATTTACTAATTAACAAATTAATAATTGATTACAAATTTACATTTAAATTTATACCTGTTTTTTTTTCTTAATAATATTACAAAAATATAATAGTGAGATTGAGGATTTTACTCTTGTTCAGATTCAAATTCAAATTCACAGCGATTACATTGTTCTCATAATTATATATTCTCACATTGCATATCTTAAGCAATTTTTTATTTTTTCATATAAGTAAGCGTTGCTTAGAATTTTTACTATATTATTGATATTATTAGAATTGGAATTATTAAGGATTGAATGGATGAGCTATTTGAGAAGTGTTTAGAGCGTAAAGTTATTTTGCCCAAAGGTATGGGCTGTATGTTTCTTTTATTACTTCTATGAAATCATTGAGATAGCTATCTGGAATTTTTTGATCTTATTTCATAGAATGAGTTTTTTTTTGTTTGCTCTAGAACTTTTGGAAAAAAAATTCAGCTTTAATCCGCTAATCCCAAAGATCCCAAAGCAGAGAAGCTAATGATTTGTTTCATCAAAGAAAACATATTTTATCTAGATTAATTAAGTAAGCAGTAACATTTGAAATAAAGTATTTTATTGCAAATTAGTAAGAAAATGGCTCCAGTGATTTTAAAAGCTTTATGGAACAGGTTAAACAAGTTTTTGTAAGGGAATGCAATAATTATAGTGTGGACATTTTACGTTAGACAAATGTTTTTTTATTAGGTGCAATGTAATATACTTATATTAAAAGAATAATTTTCAGCAAATGAATATTTTGTTAAAGCTTCTTTAATTGTAATATAAACTAAAATTATAGTTGTATAGTTACGCGTATTCTAAACGCATGAAATGTTTACCCAATGATTGTGGTCCGGTCGAGAACACCCGAATGGAAGGTATTTAAAATAGTTTGCTACTATTACTAATGGTATATTTTTAAGTCTTATGCAAAACATATTTACAGCTAGAGTCACAAAAAATTTGAAAGCAATGTGATTGGTCAAAACAGAGCGTTGCTATTTATTGGGATATTATATTGCATTAGCACTCTCAGCTCAATCAAAAGTTGAAAATGTAATAACAGATGTAGTAAAATAATCAAATTTAATATATTTGGGCAAATATTAAGTTCTGCTCATTCGGATCTTATCCCAAGAAAAATTAAGTACTAAGTACTACTAAGCATCTACTTATATGTATATATGTAAATGACCGAGTCGCCTAATGACATGCCATGACTGTCAATCACACTACCTGCCTACACAAATAACTAAACCGTTTGTCTAGTCTTTTGCTCCAGCATAAATCAAAAATTGATCAAACAAGTCAAACAAATCAAATGCAATGACAACAACGCTAATGGCAAGTCAGAACGGTGAACTCAAATTATGGGCATATCACGAGCATTGTCATTCAACTCGAAATGTGTGGGCGGTACTATATACATATAATGATGAGGTTGCCGACTAACCAGAATTATACAGGTGTATCTATACTAATTGCTAAGACGCTGTCAGACAATTATACACTCAAAAAAAGCGCCTCAAATTTAAAAAATCGCCTTGTTTTTAGAACTAAAATTTAAATATAAGAAAAATGATTTCTATAACTTAAAAATGCTTGAAATAAATCGACATTCTTAAAAACATTTATTTTCTTTGACATTAATTTCTAAAATATAGAAATGCAAGCCCTGATGCTTTGAAAAAATCCATTCTAAAATTCAGAAACAAGTAATGAATTTTACCGGTTCGGCTTTTACAATAGAGTTTAGCGTAAAATCTTAAGTTATTTCAAACTATCTAAAACGTTTGTATATGTGAAATCTAAAAATACTAATGCTTATTAATGACACAAGCAACAAAAATCAAATGTTTAGAGTTCTTTTGGGAAAAACACCGTAGAAATCAGATTTAAGAATATCCATCCTGAAATTAAAAACAGATAAACCTTGATAATTAGATATTTACTTTCTGAATAATAAGGAGAGCTACCCTTGGCATTAGATTGTTTTTTTTTCTGAGTGTATGAAATATTTTCGAATTTGTTGAATCAATTATTTGGTGTGTCTTTTATTTACAGTTAAGGGTCGCGAGTGTAGCACAAACGACGACTGCTCGACGGCAGAGCGTACCAGCTGTGTCAAGGATACCAATGACTACAAGATGCGTTGCCTATGCGGAAATGATTCGCCGCCCTCAAATGGACTCTGCCCCGATGTGCTAAAAGGTAAAAGCCAAGCCCATCAACTAACTGAATTGGGGCACCCAGAAATAGAATGCTTTAGTTGGCGCGAACCTAATTGGTAGACTTGCATATCACATTTATAATTCAAGAGGCCACCTTCTTTGTTTGCCTGTAGCTCAAGTGCCAGCTGCAGCAAGTGCAAGCTGTAAATGATAACTAAACAAAGCTTTATTATATAGACTGCAGCTCACTTGAATAGTACCCACTTATGCGAATCTTTTCCAAGCACGTTTTCACTTAAATGCGCGCAGCGACGTTTTCTTTATTTTTTCCCTATATGTAGTTTAATTTCAATTTATTATAACAACAGATTATCGGAATAAATACTATGTGTAGTATAAGTAATTTGCAGAAGAACTAATTATGAGAGGCTTACTAGCTGGACTATCAAAACATTGTCAACAATTTCATAATTGTCAGCAATATTAATGACGCATTTTGAGAAGTGTTTAAATTTACTACTCCATTGCAACTAGAGCAAAAAGAATATACTCTTTCTCCAATGAAAATTTGTTTGACTTCCTAGAGTTGATTGCTCTTGCAAATGACTGAGCAGAGCAGAATATCCACTGGCTCTGCGATTGGCTATTCAAAAGTCCGTAGCAGTAGTAATAGTAAGCCGAAAAGCTACATAGAAGCGCAACATTTTCAATCACTGAACTTGAGTGTCAATCCGAGGATACGCTCATTTAGGTTTCCACATAGCCCTCTTATTTTTGAAAGCCTTTTTCTCGACTCTGAAAGAAATGGCATTCTTATGTCCATAATGAACAAATCTTGACAGCTTACATTGCCGACTTGGCGATTTCATGGATGCGATTTATATTCAGGAACCATCTAGTTCGCAATTCTTAATTGCGCTTCCTTTAATACACATTTTTTGACAAGGTATGTTTTACAGATGTATTAAAACGCTTAAGGACAGCAAAAGATGAAAGTGTTTCTCAAAACAAGAGTTTTATTTTGAATCTGTCTAATATAATAATGTATTGCATAAAATGCAATTTGCCTGTAGCAAATGTCTTCATTATTTTGGAGGTATATGCATGTTCACAAGCATTATTTAAAATCAGCGAAACTCGCATTGCCTTAAAAAAAAACTCTTAAATGCTGGAAAACTGCTGCACTAAATTTTTTTATTAATGGGAGCGAAGAGCTGGGAAAAAGTTTCTTGTGGGTTCCATATTATCGATCAAGTACATATTTCGACCTCCGATATTGCTTTGTAATAAAAAGGCTGTTAAGGCAGCTGGCAAATGGCATCTAGCAAGCAATAGTTGTCCACAGGAGGATTGAGAAATCGATAATAAGTCGTTACACCTTGATGAGCAAACCAATAAACCATTTGTGAATGTAACTCGCCCATAAAAATCAGAGAGCTCAATTTGATACGCTGGTTTTCGAACTGGAAACACAAATTTTCAAACAGCTAATAAATTGTTATATTCCTCTTCCTCTCACAATTTTTGAGCGAGAGTTTCTAGTTCTCACAGACAACTTACTGGCTCGTCCCAACCATAACTGCAACGTTCTTACTTGTAATTAATTTTTTTTTTATATTTTCCATCAATGTTTTTCTCATGTAACATAAAAAGTTTTCAGGATGTATAATTATTTCAAATTTATAATATACAAGTTATATTAAAACGAACATAGTTAATAGATTTGATTGTTTTAAGCATAGTACACACAATTTTATAATTTCCAAAGATGCTGGAAAAATCACAAAATTCAGCATATATGGTTTTAATATTTTAATTAATGTTGCAGGACTGCGGCATAGGTGCAACAGCAATCATGAGTGTGAGGATGGAATGGTGTGTCAATTTGAGAACAACAATCGAACCATTGGCGTATCCAAGTTCATAACGAGTAAAACCAAACTGTGTCTGTGTGACAACGATAATGGCTATGTCGAGGATATATTGCATGATATTTGCAGTGGTGGTGAGTTCAGTCATATTCGCCGAATCATTATTGATAAATAATTATAATGTAATTAATCGACATTTTAGCAAATCATCGATTTCTGGTAAACATTTTGGTATCACTTTGTTCACTGATGGCGCCGTTCTTCTTCTCTGCTCACATGAGCATGAGAAAGCATTTTTAGAAGGATTATTGAACCAAGGCAAACGAATCCCAATTCAATTATTACGTCTATGTCGTCATCTCCAAGTGATCTATCGAATGTGCCTCAATAAATAAAAACAACTAAACCATTGTTCGAAATAAATGCTCCAATAATGCTCTCAAAATTCAGTAAGCTATTCAATTGGCTATTCAAATCGTAAAATGCCCGTTTCGGTAGTCATTAGCCTAAATGTCGTTATATTGAATAAGTTTCATAAGTACCACCGTCAATTTTATTCGCTTCTCACACAGGTCGCGTTACACATATATACTTATTATCTAATAAACGTTTTATATAAATCCAATTCACGAACACTAGTCGGTACCTTATATATATATACATATATATGCTACACATATATATAGTCAATAGCTGTTGCGTAATATGCAATTTAATTCAATTCAATATATAGAAAATGTTCGCACATTTGTATCAAAAATTGTTTACATTTAAATCTATTGTGTTGTACGTTCAGCATTAACCTTAAAACCAGTATACACAATAAAATATATATTCTTTCATTCTAGGTAACCATACCTTAACTAACTATGAAAATAGTATCTCAAGATGCACGCCAGAGAACTGCAACGATTACAGACACCATTTCTACTATATTAGAATCAGGGGAATTCGCGTTCGAAATCGAGGCGGGTTGATTTGCTTCGCTGATGATCAGATGTATCATTTTGATCGTTTCCTTTTGCTCGAACGTCGACACAAACATGAAGCAAACAATCACATCTCAAACCCGAATCTTAAAATCAACTGCATTCGTAAGCGAACAAATATCTGCCGATCGCTAAATAGCCCATGATCGATGCAGTTCTCTGGTGCATACAATTAAAAAGCTATACCCTGTAGATCAATCTCCAAACAGAAATTATTTCAAAATCGGATTTGCTTAAAGCATTACATTGTTGCTTCCAAATTAATTTTGTATGTTACAGTTAAGAATCATTCCGATTAAAAATATTTTTTCCGTAGCAGTTAAATTTTATTAAATAAAATTCTACAAACTTAAACGTCGTTTTATTACTTAGACTACTTTTTGAATTCCATCCGAATTGGTTCATTTGTTTTGGTTTGTAAAGCTACCAATCTCAAACAAAAAAAATATAAAAAAGCTTTTCGCCCAACGTGGGGCTCGAACCCACGACCCTGAGATTAAGAGTCTCATGCTCTACCGACTGAGCTAGCCGGGCAGTTGGCTGATTTGTGCCAAATACAAAGAAGAAATTACTTATAATTTTAATGGAAGTGCTTTATTTGATTATTTGCTTAGATATTATAGATTTATGTATTTTATTCAGACAATAAACATGCCTAAATGAGGTAAGACACTAACAGTTTTTGCTTGCCCCTAAACTGCGAATATTGAATATTTATAATAACGCTTCACTTTAAGTTGAGTTAAAAGCTTTCTTCAAAACCAAGTCCAACACATAATAAAAGCTGTGAACGGAAGGCTACAGCTGTCAGCAATCTTTTATTTTATTTTTATGTTTAAGAAATGTCACCTAAAATATATATTTATGAAATTTTGATATGTTTTTCAATTTGGTAAGGTAAAAAAACGACAAATTAATTAACAAAACTATAAACGAAGTGACAACATTAAGTGCAGAAAATCAAAGAATCTGTAAGGTACACAAAATTATGTATCAAAAGCATTACTTTTAACAAATTTTTCTGTACAACAGAATATATTTTTAATAATTAATAATAAAATGCAGCAAAAATGCATCGATTCCGATAACTGTAACTAGAATACTATGTGATATATATTTGCTCCCATTGGAACATCTGGCTGTTTTATTAAAGAATAAAATCATTTATCTTTTAAATGCAAAATATATTTACCAGATCATTTTTAAATCAAGACAAAGCCGCATTTGAATCAAAAACAATCACCACATTCAAAATAAAAAATCTATCCAGTCACGACCTCTTGGCCAAAACTATGTCATTATAATATCGAACAAATTGTATCCTTACTTAATAAAATCCTTTTGAACCCAACCGCATGCAACATAATAATACATTTTATAGAATAATAAAAAACTTGTACCTTTTACATGTCAGCTATTTTAAACTTTTCTGATATTGATATTGATCAAACTTATTTGAATTTAGCAGATTTTTGAATTATTTGTAAATTCTGAAAATTTACCGTTTTTTAACATAAATCCTGTTCATTTTTGCACCGATCATCCGAGATGAATGTGCGTTTTCGCATCTACTCAAATAGATTGTTAATGAAATTTGTATACAACTCCAATACTTGAAAGCGTTATGCATTGCGAAAAAAGGAAACATATGTCGAACAGATATACACCCAATACAAATTAGTACAAATATTTATTTAAATAATTTATTTTATAATAAATCAAAACAAAACTATGCATGTAGAGAATCAAAAATAATAACATAATGTTAACGCAAAAGGAGCAGACAGTGCATATCGGGGCGAAGATATCGGGGACAGATATCGGTGTTAAAAATTCATCAAATTGCGTCGTTATCGAGCACTGCAATCGCAGCATGTGCTGCTAAGTTATTTTTTAGTACTATTTTGAAGAACACATTTTTTATATTGTGCCGCGTTCATACAGTTTTACAGTTGAACACAATGAAACGATTAACGGACGAACGTACAAAAATTCTCTTCGAGAAGCTTGCCAAATAGTAAGTGCCGAGGACAACAATAAAACGCTTATTATTAATGAGTTTCTGCTCCCATTCAGCATTGGGCCAAATGTGCAACAATTAATTGATCGCCCCGATGGTACATATTGTTTCCGCGAGCATCGAGACCGCATTTACTATGTCTCCGAGCGCATCTTGAAACTAAGCGAGTGCTTCGGCTACAAGCAGCTCGTCTGCGTCGGGACCTGCTTCGGCAAGTTCTCCAAGACGAACAAGCTGAAGTTCCACATTACGGCCCTCTATTATTTGGCACCCTATGCGCAGTACAAGATTTGGGTGAAGCCCTCTTACGAGCAGCAGTTCCTCTACGGCAATCACATCCCCAAATCGGGACTGGGTCGCATCACGGAGAACGCTGGTCAATATCAGGGCGTCATTGTGTTCTCCATGAGTGATCTGGCACTGGGATTTGGGGTCCTCGCACGCTCCACAACTGAGTGCAAAACTGCTGATCCTCTGACCACGGTTTGTTTTCATCAATCGGATATTGGCGAATATATTCGAGCCGAGGACTCGCTGTTTTAGCAAAGTTGAATTAATTAATTAGCCTTTAGACCTATTAATTATTAACGACTAACATTAAATATTGTCTAGAATTTTAAAATCCAAATACAAAATCAAACTCAAAAATAAGCGAAATAAAAAACAAATCACGGCGACTGTGAAATAATCGATAGTTTTACCACAAGCAAAGCATCGATAATATCGACAGTGACATATAATTTTTGCAGTACGAGGAACGATCATTTGCAAGAATATTTGCTTAGATTATTGCACTTTTAGAAATTTCTGTTTTTATATATTTATCTATAAAATATATGTACATATCACAGCTAAGAATTGGAAGGAGATTTGCCTATTAATGTCATCAGAATTTAATTATTGATATTGGTCGACTCCCTAAACTACATAGATACGATTTTTAATAGCGAATATCATTTAAATTTTCTCAACTTGGGTATAATATATATATTATATAGTCAATAAACTTTTTATTTTTTGGAAAAAGTTCGAAATAAAAATCCGACTAAATGTTATATTTTATAAGAAAAAGGATAAACGCTAATTCGAATGCATATATTTAGCAAAAACAATTGAAATTACAAATTTCTTCGATTTCACTCAATTAGGGTTATCGTAGAATATCGCTAATAGTGTCAAACAACTGTGGCTACCGGCCGGCAGTGAGAAAGTCGTGACACGTAACGCGTACGAGAAAATACCGCACAAAAGTATCACTCATCCATATGTGCAGTTAGTTCATTGTTGTCGTTTGCAGACGGGCGAAAATAATAATAATAGTTAATGGCGCCACAAAAGAAAGCAGCTGCGATATGGCTGCTGCTGTTTCTGCAAAGCACTGCCACTGGTAAGTAACAAAAAGAATTCAATACAAAAAAAAAAACAATCCCTTTGCTGACTCAGCTTATTCTTTTTTTTATTTTACTTGTGCCTTGCAGTTTTTAGCGAACGAACGCGCGATAAAATGTACGAGCCAATTTTAGGCGCCAGCTGCTTTCGACGCTTGAACGGCACACATCAAACTGGCTGCTCCTGTGAGTATCTGGTGGGTGGGGAGGGTGTCCATGGCCAAAAGAATAATCATTTGCCTTTGCACCACAGCCACCTACTCGGGATCAGTTGGCGTGCTGCATTTGGTTAACGTCGATGCGGATTTGGAATTCTTGCTCAATAGTCCCCCGTCGCCGCCATATGCGCCTCTGATCCGCCCACATCTGTTTACGCGCGCGAATCTGCTCCGCCTGAAGGAGGCCGGTCCAAAGATCATATCCGTTGTGCTGCTCATAAATCGCACCGACAAAATGAAACAATTCTCGCATGAGCTCAATTGTCCCAATCAGTATAGTGGCCTCAAATTGAACCGGAGCATGAGCGAGACGGCAACATGTGATGCCAGTGGCAATGTGGCCAACACCTGGAATCGTTGGGGCACTGGCCTGCTGCACGAGGATTTCCCCTTTCCCATATACTACATCGGTGAGGACAAGGACATTTTCAAGCTGGAGGATTGCTTCGAGAAGTTCAACAATTTCAATTATGAGTCGCATGCGCTGCGCAGCCTTTGTGCCGTCGAAGTCAAGGCGTTTATGTCGGCCGCCGTTAACTCGGAGGTATGCATACGACGGACGAACTTCATCAATAATCTTGGCGGCAGCCGCTACTGTGATCCCATGGAGGGTCGCAATGTATATGCCACATTGTACCCACGTAATGCGTCCGAGAATGTTGAAGTCAATGTTGCAGGCAGCGAGAAGTTCATCATTGTCTCCTGTCGTCTGGACACGACCAGCATGTTCGATGGATTGGGTGCGTAGGCAAGGCAAGTAATAATTAGCAATTACTCACTGTGAATCTCTTCTAGGCATGGGTGCGATGGGTTCGCTTGTTGGCCTGGCAATTCTGACGCAGGTGGCGCATATGCTGCGCCTGCTTCTGCCCTCACCGGGTGCACTGAGTGATCGCCAGAGGAATGTACTGTTTGTGGTATTTGATGGCGAATCTTATGATTACATTGGCTCGCAACGATTCGTTTACGATATGGAACATTTGGCATTTCCCTCGCCCTCCACACACACTGCTCCCATTTCGTTGGAGAACATTGAGTTTATTCTCGATATTGGTGCGCTCGACGATGTAGCAAACATAAAGCTGCACACGCTGACCTCAACACCGCTGGCCAATCAATTGCTGCAACAGCTCAATCGATATGCGAAGAGTCCACGCTACAATTTCACCGTCAACATTGAGTCCAATGTCGGCTATCATATTCCGCCGACATCGGCGCAATCTTTTTTGCGTTACGATCCCAAATTACCGGTGCTAATCCTAAACTCAGTGCCTAGCAACAGGTACTATCATTCCATCTACGATGATCTGGAGAATGTGGAATTTACGTATGCCAATGCCAGCAAGGATTATACAACTCTGGCCGATATCGGCGACACAGCGAATATCTTCAACAGCAGCGCCCTGCAAATGGGGGTGCGCAATGTCTCCTCGATTGTGGCGATGACACTATATGAGATCTTGTCGGGCAAGCAGTACCAGGGCAGCTTGGTGGCAAATCCATTGTTGGCCGATGAGTTCTTCTACTGTTTCCTGCAGTCTTCCGATTGCCCGCTGTTCAAAGCTGCCTCCTCTCCAAATAGTCCAGCAGGTCCACAGCAGCCCCCTATGCGGTGAGAATTCCAATTACTTAAAATGTATAAACATGTATTAATCGTCTGCTCGTTATTTAGCTACATTAGTGTGCAAGGTGGTTCGCAGGAGTCGTCGGGTTGGACATATCGCATGCTTGGCTATTTGCTCTCGCATCCTCAGCCAGCTGTGTCCAAGGAAAATTGTACTCAATTGCCACTGTTCTTTTTTGCCGGATTAAATGGCACCGGCGAGTGTCGACTGACAACGCAGAATTACACACATGCCCTGAGTCCGGCATTTCTGATTGACAGTAAGTATACGGAGATACTCACTGACTGCAATTTAACGTTGATCTTTGATCTTTGTTTTGCAGACTATGATTGGCGTTCAGGTGATTACTCAACGTGGACTGAATCAACGTGGTCGCTGCTGAGCGCACGCATCTTTTTACGTCCGTCCAATGTGCATGAGATAACCACTCTAAGCATTGGCATTGTCGTTTTCATAATATCCTTCTGCTTGATATATATTATCAGTTCGCGTTGGGAGGTCCTTTTCGAGGATGTGCCGGCAAGCAACGCGGCGTAAGTTTCTCTCTTTATATTCATCATTCATATATATCTTCATGTATATAAAGTGGTTTCTCCTTGGACATGGTTGTTGTTCCACATTAATGCTATCTGCCCTCTTTTCATTCCTTATTTGTTAATCTTCAATTTATTTATATTATTTTTAGATTATTTAATTGATGTTTTTCAACTGTTTGGCCCTTCAACAAAAAAAAAAGAAAAAAAACAAGCTGTGCATGCAAATCTCACTTCAAAATACTAAGAGCAGTCCGATTCGCTCATAATTAATTTATTTATAAATATTAACATCGCTTGACTTGCAATTCTAGTTTGCCAACGCCAACGCCTTGTTAGTGGCAGGACACGCCAAACACAGAAGCACATGAATTATTTCATGGGAGTGAAAGCTGCAAGAGGGCAAGTAAAATTAATCGCAGACAGGAAGAATGTGCGCTTGATTCTGAAATAACTATTGTAATTACACTGTCTAGAACGACACACAAGAAGATAGGTTTCTTTTTTTTTAATATTCTTGATCTTGTATGATATAGACTAAAATACGCATATACAAGCCAAATGCCCACGATATCGTAAAACCTCTAACGAAAAGACACTACATTGATATTCCAATTAGTTACGTTAAGAACGCGTAAATAAAGATTTATTTATATGTATTTTTGTATTTTTAAAACGCAACTAGCAACTAATCTGATTTATTTGTATTATCGTTAATAATTAGCGGTAGAATTAAGTCTGTATTTAATGCATACAGCAGTTCGGTTCTAAATACTTTCTCAATTTAAATTAATACTACAGCAAAAGGGATGCATTTCTTGAGATCGAAATTTATTCGTGTATAATATAATATATATATATATAATAATAACAATAAATAAATAAAAAGTATACGCCAATTTCAATTTTTATTCTTAAAGACTGTAATTAATAATAATAATATTGGAATTGGCGTACAGGAGTTTGGTTTTAGATTGACATTGAAAATAATAATTAATTGAAATTAATATAAAATGAATATTAACGCATTTCCTGCTCTCAAAATTTATTCGTGTATTGAAAAGATCTTAACTAGACAAATAAAGTAAAATACGTTTAAGCCAATATCTATTATTTATTCTTAGTTAGCAATTCATCACAGTGCACAGTGCTCCTTATTTAAGGAGTAATCGTTCTAACAAAGACCAATATTTGAATATTAATAAGTTAAGTTAAGGTACACATAGCCAGCCCTGCCTCTGAAGATTAACAATGGAGTCAGCTATGACACGCTTGGAGCACTTCATATAGCCACCGCTGAGGAGCATGACGACAGGTATGTTCAAAGAACGAAATGTGCTAAAGACTAAGCGATCTCGCTCGATGACGCCCTCGGCAGTTAGAGCTAAATTGCCAAGGGGATCTCCCTTGAGGACATCGGTGCCGGCATTATATATGACAATGTCTGGCTTGAATTCAGTTAGCGCTTGCAGCAAGCATCGGCTCAGTTGCCTCAAATAGTAGGCATCCTCGGTTAGATGCTTTAGCTCGACACCGCAGCGTATGCTCAGTTTGGCCTCGTGATCCATTGGATAGACGAATGCATTGTACATGTCCAGGATGTATACAGAGTCCGTGTTCATAAAATCTCGCTCATGACCATTGCCCTGATGAGCATCCAGATCCACGATCATTGCGTTGCGCACCCTCGTCGGCTCCAAATCGAAGAGGCGGACAAGCAGCAATGTTATATCAGCATAGGGACAAAAGCCACCACCTTTGTTAGAGCAGCAGTGATGGAATCCACCGCCTAAATTGATAGCCCAGCCATATTCCAAGGCCAGTTTACCAGCCAATATTGAGCCGGATGCCTGATAACGCATCGGACGCAAATATCCGCTTTGCACCGTGAAATTGGGCATAAAGATCATGACGGGCACCTCGGCAATGCAGGCGACCTTGGCACTCCATTTGAGGGATTTTAAATATTTTCGAGTGTGCACTCGACGCAGTTGCTCCTTGGTAATCTCGACGGGGTCGTAGAATTGGCCGGCATTCAGCGACAACTCATCGCAGAGCAGCTGAAAGTAGTATAAATAAGAATGTGTTTTATCTATCTATGCACATAATATTTGTATTGACCTCTTGTATATGCTTGCCCTTTGCTGCATCGAAGGGATGAAGCTTCTCAAGGCCAGCGAAGCGCACGGAATAATTCTTGGAGTAAACTATGGGAAGCTTATCACTTTTCCCGACATCCTCGCACTTCATCCTCCAATCTTGTGCTCTCTTTTATGAGTTGCTTATTAATATTTGTGACACATCGGTGTATTTATTATAGTGGAATGACACGTTACATATTTTGAGACGCTTATACGAAAGCATCTTCCAAGCGTAATTCGTTTTTGCTTTAATTGGTTATCGCTGCATTACGTGTGCTTGGGTCTTGAGTGGATAAATATTGCATTCATTGGTTTTCTTTTTTCACTGAGGCAAGTCACGATTTTTTTTGTCAACCTGGAAAATTGGATTTTAGGTTTCGAGCTTTCGTAAAATATACTGTTGCAATAATCGAGTCCTTATGTCTACAGTGCAGGAACTATTATTATCGATAACACAATGTGTTTAATGAGGTTGCGATGCAATTAAATAAGTCGATAACTATCGATGCAACTGGCTGTAAGCGCTAACAGAAGCATTTGAATATTGTCTGTCTACTGTTAAGTAGCATTTTCGGTTCTATAATATACTGTACGATTGTTGAGGCTTTGCAAAAGACGATAATTGTTTCTCAAAGGCTTGCCACGGTCGTCTGCCAACAACCACAGGTTTTGTAGCTATAATAATGTTTTTATTAACGGTTAAATATATTTTGGAAGGACTTGCAGCTTACATTTGTTTTTAATACTTCTACAGGCTTTGGGAACACATACCAGTTGACGACCTCTGCGCATGGTGGTGCTGTCAGTGATCCTAAAATGTAAAGTGCAATTACGGCATCCATTTGGGAACTCGATTTGACTTGCAAACCTTTGTAGGTAAAAAATTCGGTGCATTTTACTCCAGCTAAAATATCACTTAATGAAAATGTTCCTTCAATTGTTGAAGTTTTATTGAAATTCCTGACAAATCTCGATTTATTAAAGACTTCGTTCAGGACCCGTGGTTTTAATGTGGGACACTAAATATCACAAATACATACGTATATTTAACACTAGTATTCTAACATGTTGTTTTATTGTTTTAGTATATACATACCACAAATTTATTTTTTATTATAATATTAAATAAAAATATACAAAATTCGGAATAAAAAAAAAAATAAAAAACTAAATAAAAAAAAAGCCCACCAAGACTGAATTAGGAATAGTAAATAACATTTCCATAAATTCAAATATTTAAAACAAAACAAAAATTCCATATATATATTACAAATTAAAATGGACAGTAATTGAAAAAAATAAAACAATAAGGCGGGAAAAAGTTGGAAAATTTTTGGCTGTGGTGTATTAATATGTAACATTTAATAATATAGAGAAAAGAGTACCTCCGACCAATAGTGAACAAAGTTATATTTAGGGTTGTAGAAATAGTTAAAAGAGACATAAAAATGAAGACATCATAAAAAAAAGCATAACTCTGCGATAGAAGAATAAGAATTCCAATTGAAAAAATGCAATTCGTCGTTGCTAGTTTTTATATAAAGAAGACCATTTAAGCTTATACATCTGCATAAAGCTAGCAACGATATCAGCTAAAATTATCTACATATCCCTATTTTATATTATTGATTATATCGTTATATTAAAGAAAAGAAAAATACAAATTAAATGAACAGTATTCAAAAACACGACTGACGGAAGATATATAGAAAAGTTTGGTGATGAAAAGGTCGTAAAACAGCACCCTATAAAGCGGAGTTCATTCTGGGATACCACTGGATAGTGATATCAATTGTTGTACAGAAAATAACAAGGCCATTGACTGTATGCATAATTTACAATGAACTTAAAGTGACCTATTAGTAGTAAGAGTCATAAATATGTATATTGAAGACAGGCTTACCTCAACAATATTGACCATTATTGCCAGTACAACAAACCCATCCCAGGAGCACAGGGCATTCTCCTTGAGAGCGTATGCTATATTTTGATGAATAATATGCAGTTCAGCATCATATCGCGTGCAGTTTATCGAATGTTCAGATCCCTTCTTCTCTGGCGAACCCCAATGAAAATGAAGCTGCACAGCCTTGTAGATACTTTTGAGCTTACATCCGCAAACCGCTGGTTGACTACAGTCTTCTGCGCAGGGTATTGACATCTTCAGGGTATGCCCATTGTTGGTCAGTTTTAGGGGACGGGACAAGGCCTTGTTGTAGTTAATGAAGATTAACTCTGACGCCGTTGACTTGACCGCCTAATATTTAAATTACTTATGCAATTTAAAGAAGGTAAATATTGTGTGAAGCACTTACTTTGGCTGTAGTTAGAGCAACGGGCGATTGTTGTCTGCCAGTGTTAACATTCCAGTCCTTTCCGTTTTGATCGTAGTTAAAATGGCTTAACCTTGCAAAATTTCCAAGTACACCATTCATTTCGAAATCTGTACCGACTTATCTAAATGAATATGTATGTGGTTTTAATTGGGTGTTGCTAAGAAACAAATAAAAAATATGTGAAACTCAATTTCGAATTTTTAGCTGCATATGTCAAATTTATTCAGTTGGTATTTTTTGTATGATTGTTTTCCTTCTTTTTTTTTTGCCAGTAGTAGTAGTTGAATTAAATGTATATTCAATTAAATCCATTTTTAAATTTATATCAGAGTTCTCTGGAAGACTGGCCTTCCATTTATTTCCTGCGGATTACGGTAGTTGTTTATCAAAGGAAGACTGCGTTCGTCTAGCAAATCCCAAAATTTGGCGATCTGTCGTCTAGGTAGTTTCACAGAGTCCGAGAACACAGTCCAAGTAACAGATTCGGCGCAGTCAGGCGTAGTCAGTGAGCCTGTTTCACAATATAAAATATATAAATATATGTGCATAATAGTGGGAGTGAAAAATCTTAGTTGAATGCATACCATTATATGAGTAAAACCTTCCAGTAGAACTGTCTCCCAATAGATCGTTCATCGTTAGTCGCCCAGCTATCGATGTACTTGATTGGTATTCAATAACTTGAGGTAATCGATCTAAGATTCGGTTAAGGCCAAAATGCGTCGAGATCAGTGAAGGTACAGCCTGAAGCATGACACCCAAAACGGCAAGACCATCCGAACGCAAACTTGCTTCGGCTACCGTGGCATAACGAACATTCTTATGAACAATGTGCATTTCGACGTCGTAGCGTTGACCATTGATGAGATGCTCGGATCCACGACTGTTGGCCGAGCCCCAATGGAAGTGCACGCTCTGCGCTTCAAAGGTGCCTGGCAACAGGCCGCCCTCGATGAAAGCACGCTGTCCGTTATTTGTGAGCGGCAAAACAATGTTCGCTGAAGTACACTTTAATACTGTAATTACGGCACTGATAAATCAAAATTACTGCACACCTGTATGTCCATTGTTTGTCATCATCAGAGGTGACTGCAAGGCCCGATTGTAGTTCGTGAATCGAATTCGCGGAAAGGGTTTGCGAATAGCCTGTGAAGAGGTAACTTTTCTAAAAATCGTCCAGTGTTGTGAAGGCTTATGCTACTCACAGTGTTGTCCGCCAATCTAATTGGAGATTGACTTTGGCCAGTTTCGCATGTTCCCTCCCAATCGCTGCCTTGTTGGTCGTAGTCGAATTGTCCACTCGCCTGTTTGGCTGCCAACAGTAAGAACTGCAGCAAGATTACAAGTCCCCGACGGCTTAAGATACACATTTTCTGTATTGATGTGTATGTAAAAGTTAAAGTTAATTTCTGACGATTTGCACTGAATAACCCTTGCTGGAAGACTGCAGTAATTGTGCAATGGGACGCAGCAATTTATAGGCGCAGAGACTGCTTGGCTGGAGCTTCTTCAAAGATAAGAATGCCGTTTCTTGCTTAGCTCTCCTCAAACCCGGTTGCAAATTTGCATAGAAATTGCAACGTGTTCGACATGTTTGAATTTTGTCCTCATCACTGCCTCAGTTAGCGACATTAGTGCCCCTGACACTGGTGCATCAAACTTATTTGCAATAAAAGAAAGAACTGTAAAATCTGGTTCTAGCTGAGTGCACTTCGAAAAGTTTTCTTTTGATTGGATTAGCCATTATTTATATAATTATATAAATTTATATATTTTGCAGCCTAAAATAATCGAAGTAAATCAATAAAATAAATTTAAATTGTACTATTATCAGTTGCACAAGTACCGCTGGGCAAAAATTTATTATGCCATTATGCCACATATATATATATATAGAAATAAGTTTTTCTTTATTAATAATTACTATTTTTTAGGGAATAAAAAATAAAGTACCGGCAGTTTTAATATTAGTTTGTAATTATATCAAATATTAATGATGAAGAGCATGTGAAAATTAGTTAACTTCCTTATCATTTATTTATTTAGATAATATAGATTCAATTAAATAAATAAACTAATTTAGGAAGTTAAAAATAAAATAAAATATAATTAAAAATAATTGAGTTAAATTTAAAAGGAGCAGTTAAGTTAAAACTTAAAATGTAATAAATTATATAAAATAGCTGGCTGTATTAAGACGTTAAATGGTCCAATATGTATCGCAAGAATTGGAATTGGGACACCCATAAAAATGCAATCGGACCACAATTTTTAATGATTTGTATCTCTAATCAGAAGGAAAATAATAATGTGAATGTTAATTAATAAATTATCTATAACGTGAAAATTCGCTACTACTAGTAGTTCGTTTTCGCATTACAGATAATTTATTGAATTCTGTACTTAAAAAGTCGTTAAATGTAATTAACAGATACTTGCACAACTTTGAGTTCTTATCTTATGCAAGCTAGAACGGCTGTCAAAAAACGTTATGGTATATTTTCAATGCTCCTAAATAAAATCTCAAGATCAAAATACGGTCCAAGCTGTCCTATGAACATGTGTTATTTATAGATTTTATCATTATCTGGACAGAAATATTTGGTAGAAGTAATGGAATTTTAATATTCTCTTTCGCATGTCGACGCATGTGGAGAAAAAGTAAACCACACTTTCTATCGATACATACATAGTTTATTGTATAAAAAACATTTTTTTACCAATAGTGGCACTTCTATAATTTTTATATAAATTATTAAAATTCAACTACTCACTCACTTGTTTAGCTATAGTATATACTCATAAATCAATCTCGAACAAACTCACCCGCTACGTGTGCTAAAATGTTTCTTACATTTCTATGCCGATAGTTTCCAGTATTCAGTTTGCATAATTTTCAGTTTGTTATTTTGATGCCCGTTTAATACATTCGAAATTACACTGGCCGATGCCGTAACTTATGTATGTATGTGTCTGTACCTGTGTTCAAGCTGGTATTTGGGAACTGTATTCCAAATTTGAAGTCGCTAGCTCCTAATGTCTCTGAAATCCGCTTGTTCATACAGACGGACAGACAGGCTGACACCTCAATTGTATTTAAAAACCTGACCGAGCAATATGACATATTATTTATGTCCAAAGTTGGTCTTTTCATCTAAAATGATAACAGGTATCGGAACGCGAATTTAAATTTAAATTCGTTTCGGTTTGATATCCTGTTGGCGACCTATCCCTTATAAATATTATGTTGCAATGTTCTTCAAGATATGGCTATTATATGAGTGGCTTTTCTACTAATGCTACCACTAATAAATGCCATGATTAAATGGATGTCTTCGAAAGACTCTCTTTAATGTTGTTCGATGTAAGTGACTGAGCAAATTACAATGAATACAAAAGATACATATTGTAGTGCGCTTGTCTAAGTTGCTAAAATGTTATGCCTAAGGTTATGCTGTGGTTTTTCGTATACCAAGCCGAGATTTTGCCGACACCCTCTATGAGATAAAGTAGTACAAAGTCGAGCCGTTTTTGTTAGGTTTCTTACAATTTTACTTATCGACAATTTTTACCGATTCTGTCTGAACCCATTAAAAATTGGTAAATGTATGTAACAAGCAGAAGGAAGCATCTTCGACTCCACAAAGTACATATATGTCTGTCTGTCTGTATGAATACGCAGATCTCAGATCTGTAAGAGCTAGATACTTCAAATTTATAATGTAGGTTCTCGAATACTTTGCGCAGATGAAGTTTGCTTTATTTGATCGATAACTGCCTTCGTTTCTCGAATATCGATACATTTAAATTTCCGATAGCAATAAATTCTACAATTTTAAAGGCAGAATCTTCTAATTAATACATAATATGCGCACATGCATATTATTATTGATCAACTGCCCAAATTTCATCGCATAGGAAAGACCCAAGTTATAGTCGAAAATATTAGTGCGCTTGACTAAGTTAATAAAATGTTATGCCTACGAATATGCTTCGGTTTTTTTTAATACCAAGCTGAGCTCGTGCCGATGCCCTCATTGAGATATAGTACAATGTCGAGCCCTTTTGGTAAGTTGATTACAAATTTTTCTGATAGCTGCCCTTGACTTTTTATCTGCCGAAAGGGATGGTCATGCGATTCCCATCGACTTTGGTTTTTTTTTTCTGTTTCATGGACATAGAAAAGTTACACGTGGACGCGATGTACATCATCCTTAACCCGAAATTTTTTTAACTGAAGGAATAATATAATTGCAACCGGCCAAAAATTCTTTATGGGCACGTGCGTCTCCGACAAACAAAATAAATATATATAAATATATTATCACTAAATATATGTAAATACGATAATAAAACGTGACCGATTTAACTTCTGAAAAAAAAAATACATATGTTTTTGCACAGTCAAGTGGAGTTTTCCAGCGCCAACCGCCATCGCCAGCTCGGCTCCACGGTACAGTCACCGCTGCACCACGGTGGTATGGCGAGGATTGAGGCTTCCCCTACGTCTACAGTGTCGATTCATCAAGCGATCCGGCATATATGCATACAATTTGCATAACCTTAACTCATTTTTAATAGTGTATTGAACATTTTTTTTTTATTATTTGTAATATAAAACATAAACAAAATTTAATAATAAATAATTAAAAATTAAATTAATTTATTATTACAATTATTCAAGTGCATATAAAGTGAAATCAAAATATGAACCATTTTGAGTCTAATTGGTGCAAACAAATTATACTAAAAAAAAAAAACAAAAAATTGTTCGAACTATAACCGCACGCGATATATTTTAATTAGTATTGTGCACAGTGAACACGTAGCACAAGGATCTTTAAGGAACCCCGAACTGATCGGACCGAACTTCAACTACAGAGTTTATGTCAAACACCTGATACTTAACTTGCTTCGATTAATTATCCTCGCTCTCATCCTTCTCTTAATTGACCCCATTTCTTTGTTTCTTAGTTAATATGGCTACCCCTTGGAAAATTTTGAAGTACACACTTCATTTCTAAACTATAAACTTAATTTCAAATTTTTTAGGTGCATATGTCAAATTTATTTGGTTGGTATTTTGTTTTTTTTTTTTTTTCTTATATATTTTATTTTTTTTTGCCAGTAGTAATAGTAGTCGATAATTTTGTATTTTCAGTGAAATCCGTTTTTAAATTTATATCAGAGTTCTCTGGAAGATTGGCCTTCCATTTATTTCCTGCGGATTACGGTAGTTGTTTATCAAAGGAAGACTTCGTTCGTCTAGCAAATCCCAAAATTTGGCGACCTGTCGTCTAGGTAGTTTCACAGAGTCCGAGAACACAGTCCAAGTAACAGATTCGGCGCAGTCAGGCGTAGTCAGTGAGCCTGTTTCACAATATAAAATATATAAATATATGTGCATAATAGTGGGAGTGAAAAATCTTAGTTGAATGCATACCATTATATGAGTAAAACCTTCCAGTAGAAATGTCTCCCAATAGATCGTTCATCGTTAATCGCCCAGCTATCGTTGTACTTGATTGGTATTCAATAACTTGAGGCAATCGATCTAAGATTCGGTTGAGGCCAAAATGCGTCGAGATCAATGAAGGTACAGCCTGAAGCATGACACCCAAAACGGCAAGACCATCCGAACGCAAACTTGCTTCGGCTACCGTGGCATAACGAACATTCTTATGAACAATGTGCATTTCGACATCGTAGCGTTGACCATTGATGAGATGCTCGGATCCACGACTGTTGGCCGAGCCCCAATGGAAGTGCACGCTCTGCGCTTCAAAGGTGCCTGGCAACAGGCCGCCCTCGATGAAAGCACGCTGTCCGTTATTTGTGAGCGGCAAAACAATGTTCGCTGAAGTACACTTTAATACTGTAATTACGGCACTGATAAATCAAAATTACTGCACACCTGTATGTCCATTGTTTGTCATCATCAGAGGTGACTGCAAGGCCCGATTGTAGTTCGTGAATCGAATTCGCGGAAAGGGTTTGCGAATAGCCTGTGAAGAGGTAACTTTTCTAAAAATCGTCCAGTGTTGTGAAGGCTTATGCTACTCACAGTGTTGTCCGCCAATCTAATTGGAGATTGACTTTGGCCAGTTTCGCATGTTCCCTCCCAATCGCTGCCTTGTTGGTCGTAGTCGAATTGTCCACTCGCCTGTTTGGCTGCCAACAGTAAGAACTGCAGCAAGATTACAAGTCCCCGACGGCTTAAGATACACATTTTCTGTATTGATGTGTATGTAAAAGTTAAAGTTAATTTCTGACGATTTGCACTGAATAACCCTTGCTGGAAGACTGCAGTAATTGTGCAATGGGACGCAGCAATTTATAGGCGCAGAGACTGCTTGGCTGGAGCTTCTTCAAAGATAAGAATGCCGTTTCTTGCTTAGCTCTCCTCAAACCCGGTTGCAAATTTGCATAGAAATTGCAACGTGTTCGACATGTTTGAATTTTGTCCTCATCACTGCCTCAGTTAGCGACATTAGTGCCCCTGACACTGGTGCATCAAA